GGGTTTTATTATCTATTTCCTATTTAAAAATAATTTTATAGTATATGTATTGTTTGTTCTTCCTGGCCACTGTATATTTATATTAGAGATAAGCTTTAAATTGAATAGAATATTTATTTATTATGTTTGGTATCAAATATTATCTCATAACACCCAGAAAATACCAATTATAGCAAAAAAAATCCAATTACAAAAGTCAGTAGACTTTCTATACACCAATAGCAAACACACTAAGAAAGGTTTTGAAACACTCTCATCCCTAAAAGCCTCTTAAAAGTATATAACATCACATACCAAATGGCTATAGTAGATATCTACAGAACATTTCACCCCAAAACAGAAAAAATATATGTATTTCTCAGTAGATCATAGAACTTTCTTCAAAACTGACCACACGCTCACACACAAGTAAATTTTAACAAATACAAGGAAGTTGAAATAACAGCCTGCATCCTCTCTGACAGGTTAAAGACTGATATCAGCAACAACAGAAACAGAAAGTTTACAAATTCATAAAAACTGAACAAGTCACTATTTGATGAAAAATGGACTGAGACAGAAATTAAGAAAAAAATTAAAATTTAAAAAATTAAGTGAAAATGAAAACACTGCACAACCCAATGAATCTAGTTATAAGAGGCAAGTTCATAGCACTAATTGTTGTCATTGAAAAGGAGACAGACGGGGATCTCATATTAGTAACTTACAAGACACCTGAAAGCTATAGGACAATAACAACAACAGAAGAAGAAGAAGAAGAAGTACCAAGAGGAGTGGTGGAGTGGATGGCAAAAATAATCAAACTCAGAGCTGAAATCAATAAAATAAAAATATCAACAAAAACAAAATACTACAAAGAGTCAAGAAAACAAAGAATTTAGAAAAAAAGTAAATATGCTTAGAAAATTAATAAGTTTGAAAAATTCTTAGCCAAATTAACAAAAAGGCAGAGAGGGGAGGTCCAAAATAATAAAATTAGACATGAGACAGGTGGGGATCGCAGTAGGTAAGGTGGCAGGAAACAGGAGGGGAAAGGATTTTTACCAACTACACATCCAGTAGAAGGCTAATATACAAAATATATAAAGAACTCACAAAAACTTGACACCAAGAAAATAAATAAATCATTTTAAAAATGGGATCCAGATCTAAACAGAGAATTCTCAAAAAAGGAAGTAAAGTGGTTGAGAAACACTTTTAAAAATACTCAACATTTTAATCATCAGGGAAATGAAAATCAATACTATTTTGAGATTTCATCTTACATCAGTCAGAAGGGCCAAGATCAATAAAAAAAAATGACAGTACATGATAGCAAGGGTATGTAGTAAAGGAAACACTCATCTTTTGCTGGTGGGAGAGCATACTTCTACAGGCATTATGGAAATCGTTTTTGGGAAATTGGGAATAGATCAACCTCTTGATCCAGATATTATTGAGAATATACCCAAAGGATGCTTCATCCCACTACATAGAAACTTGTTCAACCATGCTCATTCCTGCACTATTTATAATACTCAGATATTAGAAACAACCTAAATGCTCTTCCATGAATGAATGGATATAGAAAATGTGGTACACTTACACAACTAGCTATTTTTCAGCTGTTAAGAAATGAGATAATAAAATTTGCAAGCAAATTTTTGGGGCTAGAAAAAAGATATTCCCAAGTGAAGTAACTCCTAACTGAAAGGAAAAGCATAGTATAAATATGCTTATATGTGGATATTACTATTATGTCTTCAATAATCATGAAAATATTTGTATAACCACAGAGATTAGGTTTGGAGTTAGGGACTGGTAGGAAGGCAAGATCTCACTAGGAAAGATGGCTATGAGTGGATGGGGAGAAGCTAGAACAGGAGGACCAATTGGGGAGCATGAGTGAAGTGGAGTGCTGTGGAGGAAATAAGGGTTGGCACTTAAAACTAAAGGCCATTTGAGGGTTTATAGGAAACCTTAAAATTGTAGAAGAAAATATATACATATATGTATGTGATCAAAATGAAATCAGGAAACAAATAATCAAATGAGCAAAAAACAACAAAAACGGTAGACTGAGCACCATCTGGACATCGCCAGTCACGAAGGAATCATCTGTTTACAGCTTATGGAGTAAATGGACAAAAGGGCACCCAAGAGCACTCATAAACAAACTAGGCTATTGCCAAGACCTTTAATCACAGCACTTGGGAGGCAGAGGCAGGCAGATCTCTGTGAGTTCGAGGCCAGCGTGGTGTACAGAGGAAGTACCATGAGAGGCTCCAAAAGGTACACAAAAGAATCCCTGTTTCGAAAAACCAAAAAAAAAAAAAAAAAAAAAAAAAAAAAAAAAAAAAAAAGACCCTATTACTGAAGACAACACCTGTACATCTCATTGAAAATTGATAAGTCCAGCTTGTATCAGCCTAGAGCTTTCCCCACTCCTGATGAATGCTTATGCCACTGGAAAATACTCTACATGCTATCAAAGGAAAAAGGTAAACACTAACCCAGATACAAACCCTTTGATCTACAGAGGTTCCTGAATGCAAGATACGCTAGTGCAATAATGGCCCAAACCTTGTAGGACTACCAACCAATATCTGATTGGAGTCAATGAAATGGAACCCATCTTTGACACTGCCTAGGTTGTCAAGATTATGAGGCCAGGTAGACCAAGGACCTAGAAGAAAACCAAATGTTCTTGTTCTGAAAAGTAATCTAACAACAAAAGGACTCCTAAGAATTCTGCTGTACTTACAGATCAATTCTTATTCATCCATCATCAGATCATCTTCCTTCTCCAGTAGATGGAAATAAATACAGAGACCCACAACTGGACAATGTGCAGAGAATTAGAGACCTTGAAACACTCAGTGCTAAATGTGATATAGCTACCAATTCCCTCCCCTCAGAGCTCAAGGAAAACTGGAAGAGTACAGAAAGATTTTAGATGGCATGATTAACAGCGAAAAAACAAGGTCTTCTAAACACAGTGATACCAACTGCAAGTATCAACTCACAGAGACTGTGGCAGCATGGACAGAGTCTTCACATGGCTGGACCTAATGGGGTCTCAGTGCTGAGAGAGGAAGTGGACACAAGCCCATATCCTTAATCCAGAAGCTATCTCCAATTGATAACCACACACAAATGAAAAATTTGTGGTTTTTGACAGAGTCTAACAGGGTATACAAACCACTCTTATCGCTAGGCCCCATGCCCAACAGTAGATGGCCACCACAAAACAAACTCAATGTCAATGATTATTTTTGGATTTTGTTGTTATTGTTGTTGTTGTTGTTGCTTTGTCTCACAATGCTTTGTCTAGTCTTTTTCTTTGCTCTTCTTACCCTATAAATCTTTTGCTTATAAAATATGGTTTCCTGTTTTGTGTTTTTAGGGATTTTCTCTGTGGGTCATTGTATGTCTCTGTATCTATATGGGTTTCTTCTGCTTTTTCATTGACTCTGGTTTTTTTTTTCTCATTTGTTTATTTTGTTCTATTTTGGTTTATTTGTTTTTATTTTATTATTACTTTTTTAGTTTTAGATGTCTGTTTGTTTTCTAATGTGAGAGATCAAGAAAGGATGCAGATTAGGCTTGGTGGGAAGGAAAGTTGATCTGGGAGAAGCCGGCAGAGAGGGGAATCATAATGAGACTATATTGTATAAAAGATCCATTTTCAATAAAATGACAACAAAGACAAAGAAATAGTTGCAAAAATATAATTAAACATGAAGTTGAAAAACACGAAGATTAGGCTGATCTTAAGGACAATATCAACAGATACTGTGAAAAGCAAGTTCTCTTCTACCTAGAAGGGAAACAGGAAGAGGCAATACTTGAAATTATTTTTAAAACTCTTTGTTTTGTCCTATTCCATTTTCTTTGTCTTTATCTTTACTATGTTTTCTTAGTTGCATGTTTGTTTTCTAATGACAGATGACAGATAGCAAGAAAGAATGTGGATTTGGGTAAGTGGTGAGATCGGGAAGATCTGAAAGAAGTTGGAGGTGGTACCAGTAACCAAAAAGGAGAAGGAGGAGGAAGAGGAGGAGGAGGAGGAGGAGGAGGAGAATCTACTTTGATATTTTTATCTTACTCAGTCATAATGGGTTAATATCAAGAAAACAGACAACAAATGCTGAAAAGCTAGTGGAATCGGGACCCTTCATCAATGTTTGAAAGATTTCAAACTGGTGGGGTCAGTGGTAGAAATGAGTGTGGACAATTCGCAAAAATATTAATTAAATAAGTCTATCTTGTGACCCAGCTATACTATCCAGTTGGGTTACACAAAGGACATTGACGTCTTCTTCAGGTACATTTCCTTGGTTATGTTCATTGTTGTTCCATTCACAATAATAAGGAAATGGAAGCAGCCTAGAAATCCCTCAACTGTTGAATAGGTAATGAAAATGTGGTACATATACATAATCTAATTCTCTTCAACTGTGAACAGAAAACGAAATTTGTAGATAGATAGATAGATAGATAGATAGATGATAGATAGATAGATGATAGATAGATAGATAGATAGATAGATAGATAGATAGATAGATAGATAGAACTGTAAAATATTATGCTGAATGATGTAACCTAGAACTAGAGAAACAAATACTTTTATCTGTGAACCCTAATTTCAAATTTTCTTTTCCAGAAAATTTTAACAGGTTTATTTATAATTGTTATAAAGTTGAACTGTTGAAATGTGTTCACTGAAACATTTTGCTTGCATTAATGCTTTACATCTTGCATTTATATTAAAAATTCACACACAAATGAAAATGGAAAAACTGCCAATACCTGATTTCTGTCCCCTATTTTTCCACTCGCAATC